TTCCTCACCAAAAGCCCTTATGGTCACTGCTCCAACATTGGATTCAGCAAGATAGCTTGCCACTGAAGACATAGTTGTGCCATTAATTCGCACCAGCTCTTTGGCAGAAGTAGAGTAAAATCTCTGTTTTGTAAGATAATACACATAAGCAAACAGTAAGTTAGTTTACGATGCTATAGAAAAGCATAGAACTACTGTGATTGGTGTATTACCTGTAACAGTACGGTTATATAAACCATGGGTATGATGACAATCAAGATTGGCCAGGTAAGGAAAACCAATACTCCCAAGGTAAAAATTGTGTGCCAAGTTGACCCTATACTCAAATTGATGTTGAAAGCCAATTCAAGGTCCACAACACTTAGATCAGAAGATACCTATACAAATAAGGCATAAATGTAACTCTCGTAAATACTTTGAAGCATAATTTACATCATAGTTTTTTTGTAGAGATTTTACCCGACTGAGTATCCTTCCCGATGGCGTTGAGTCATAGAAGGACATTGGTGCTCGGAAAAGAGATGTCATTAGCTTGGAAAAAATAGATTTTGATGTACTAAGACCTAAAGCAACTACTAGATAAGATCTAAGGAGCAAGAATATTGACACACCACACCCAATCAACGAATATACTAAGATTAGTTTCAGTCTGCTTATGCTAGAGTCCTGTACATCAACAGCTAACCACAGGCTCTGTAAAAACTGCCCAATGGTGAAGATAATATGAAGGATAACTACCAGGGATAGGTACAAGAAACCCTTGCTCTGATTCAAAAATTGTATGTAAGGTTTTAGACCCATATCTCCTATTTCTCTTTCTTCTTTCTTAATCAACTGGTCTCCTAATGGTTCTCCGAGCTGTTCTTCTGTATTAATACCTTCCTGGTTCTCTTCTGTAAGGGTTTTAGATTTTGGGGAACAATACTTGATGTGCTTCTCGGAACCAACTATGTCTTTGTGAGCATTGACAAGGTTTTGAAATTGCTGGCTACAAGCCAGCAATTGATTGTAGGTAGCTGCTTCCACAATCTTCCCTTCAGACATTAACTACCAACGAAAAAATGAACAGAATATGTCAATCTTAAAGAAAGGTAATGGAGAAATTGACAATTGTTGAGTGTCTAACCAAGATAGAATCAAAAGTTGGAAGGAAGTCAACTTGGTGAGTCACGAGTATGACCGTTTTCCCTGCCAGAGCTCCCATGACATATTCCTGGCCAAAACTTATATTAGCTTTTTACTTGGGAAAAAAAGTTTCAATAGTAGGAAAAAAAAATAGTTAAACAATAATTGTATTCACATTAAACAAACTGGTTGCAGTATGTGCATCAACAGCGCTGAACGGATCATCTAAGAGATACACATCTGCATCTTGATATAGTGCACGTGCAAGTTGAACCCGTTGCTTCTGGCCACCACTGAGATTAACACCTCGTTCTCCAATTATAGTGCAATCACCAAATGGAAGCAACTTGAGATCTTTTATTAGGGAACACTTTTCAAGTACTTCTTGGTATCTATGTTTATCCATGTTGGACCCAAAGAGAATATTTTCTTGTATTGTCCCTGTTTGGATCCATGCTGTTTGAGAAACATAGGCAACCTTTCCATGTACTTGAACCTAGAAAATTAAGCAACATGAATACCAGTATATAAGCCATTTAGGCTTGAACAAATTATTTCAAAATTGGAAATCTTTTTAGGTGTAGTTTAAAGCTTCTTATACTTTTAAATATTTAGAGAACTATGGACCAGAGGACAAGACATCGTATGCTCTTATGCTGCCAATATGTTACTTCTCACTTCTAGACACTACCAAAGTTGGAAAAAGAAAATTCTTGGCTTGAAAATGAAAATTAAGTGAAACGAAGACTTACTATGCCATTGATGTTTGGAACCTCCCCAAGAATTGTGGCTATAAGGGTCGATTTACCTGAGCCAACCTCTCCACATACAGCTATCTTCTCACCAAATTGAACCACCAAGTTTATGTCAGCTAGAGTGGGCTTTAAAGAACTAGCATCCCATGAAATTCGAGTAGAATTGACCAATATAGACTGCTCGAGTTCTTCATTCATATCACACTTTCGCTTGATATGTCTATTTTGCAATTCGGGTGCCTCGAGAAACTTCACTATTCGAGTAAATGAAACCTTTGTTTCAATAAACACTGTGCCAAGATCAGGGATCAACATGATGGGTTCTTGAAGAATGCGCAAAGTTGCAAGAAATGTGAAAACATTGCTATAATTGAGAGGAATTTTGAGGAAGTAACATGCCCAGAAAGTTACAATTGATACTAAGGTTGCAGACGACCAAAAAAGGACCACACTATAACCTCTTATTGACAAAACTGCTGACAAATAGTTGGATTCATTTCTCCTTAGGATTTCTATGACATTCTTGAAATGATTCTCCCAAGCATGCAACTTCAAAATTTTCATGTTTGTTAGTGTCTCTGTAATAGCCTTCAACCTCCTGTCTTGTGCCCCTGCGAGATTTGTTTGGTGCTTATGGTGTAATTTGGCTATTGGATAATTTCCCAAGGCAATCAATATAATTACAATTAATGCAGCAATAGTTGCTAGCCCTATAGAATAGTAGATGATTAAAAATGCAAGACATATTTGAAGGGGGTTTGTCCATATATGATGGAACCAATATGGAAATTCACCTATTCTATAAGCATCTACTGTGACATAATTTGTTATCTCACTAGGAGAATGAATCATCGTGGCAGCATTTGAGAGTCGCAGTTGCTTCTTATAGATTGCTGCAGATAGCACAGATCGTACTTGGAGCCCGATGACCCTAGTTTGAAAGTACCATTGCCTCTGTGATAGTGATTCTAAGAATCTTGCAAAGAAGAACCCTGCAGTTATTGCATATCCCTCGTATCTAAACGTTTCTTTTCCTTGGGCAACTTCAATGAGAGCTTTCAAAAGCATTGGGCCGGTAGCCAGTGTGAGTACCTTGATTAATGCAAAGAAACCAGAAACTAAGATAGCTTTCCATTGCCAGAAAAGAATTGTTGACAAAATAGGAGGATTTGGAGTTCCTTTTTCTTTTCGTTTGCTTAACTGCTCCATAAACCTGAAGTAACATGTCTCTGCTTTATCTGTTTGCCTCAACTTTGGTATCTCTTTATCCTCAAGAATTTTCTCTTTTCCTTTCTTGAGCAATGGATTCAACCACCAAAATGACAGTCTGCTTAAAAATCCAGCCTTGGCAAAAGGAGTTACATTGTCATCCATGTTGATTTCACCTCCAGTATCAGTTTTTTCACCTTGTAGAGCTGCATAGAGTTCATCAATATCGGAGCAATACTTTCAACAAGCTATAACAAAAACATCTTTTCAATAGTTATTTTATCAAATTCATTGTTGATACTTGCATGATAATTATGTGATTCAATATTGTGGCCAAGGCATGGATTTGATTCAAAAAAAGTTCGTGGGTTTATTTGTATAGTATTTTAACTCAGCACATATTTCTTCAACTTCTCAGAGCAAGTGCAGAGATTAAACCAACATAGTTCACTTTAGAGAAAAGCCATAACATCAAGCAAACAATCAGGTAGTAACAAACATGTTAAACATGACAGGAAAAGAAAATCTAAAGTCACATAGCCAAACATATTAAAATCCTTAATGTATGGGAACTGTTTTCTTTTTTAAATATTTCTAAAGTGAAAAAGTCATCAAACATAAAAGTGGAAAACTAGTTTCTTTTTTAAATATTTCCAAGTGTAAATTACACTTCGTCCAGTTTATGTGTGTTTCCAGAAACAAAATAATGAAAAATTTCAAAGTACTCACATTTTTCATAGGTTAAATTACACTCCTCTAGTTTAAGAAAAGTTTCACTGTGGTCTCTCCGACACTGTTAAATTTTTTAACGAAAAAAAAAAATCATGTACAAAATCAAAAGGACCAAAGTAAAATTCAAATAAATCACGTGTGGTAAATTGCACCATTTTTCATATCATTTTCATTTTTATAAGAAATCAAAAAGTTTTCAAGAATAGCTTTTTGGGCATTGTTTGGTTAATAAGAAAAGTTTCACTGTGGTCTCTCCGACCCTGTTAAATTTTTTAACGAAAAAAAAAAAAATCATGTACAAAATCAAAAGGACCAAAGTAAAATTCAAATAAATCACGTGTGGTAAATTGCACCATTTTTCATATCATTTTCATTTTTATAAGAAATCAAAAAGTTTTCAAGAATAGCTTTTTGGGCATTGTTTGGTTAAGTTTTCAAAATGTTTACTAATTTTTTTTAGGAAAAAAACTAGCTTAGTGATAAAAGAGAAAAGAAAAGAAGGTATTATTTTCATATAATTCTATCTTATTGGAGCAGAATCTTTTTAAATAACATTAAAAATAGATTTTTGACGTTTATTTAATTTTATTGAAGTAGGTTTTAAGTTATTAAAAAAAAGCAAAAAGAAAACAATTTTTCAAAACTCAACCAAATTTTGCAAAGAATTCGCCAAACAACTTTTTAGAAAAAAGGCATCAATATATTTTTTTTTAGAAATATTTTCTAAATAATTTTCACACACACAAAAAAAATAATAATAATAAAAGCACTAAACATTTTTTTTTGTTTTTTTGGGAAATGAAAACATAAATAGAAATCGAAAAGCAGCCACCCAGACATATTTTCTAGTATTTCTAAAAGTATTAGGAAGGTTTTCTAGAAAAAAAATATATATATATATATTTGAAAAACGAAAGGCAAATGATTTCCTTATACTTTCCAAACAACCAAATTATCATATTGTTTTTATACTTTCATTGGTTATCATTATACTCTCTCTCTCTCCACCAAATTAGAGGGGAAAAAAAAGGGCAAAAGAAAAAATAATATTCTCATAAAATCGACCGTTAAATTTTAAACGAAATTGTCATTATATAAACAAAACGCCCAACCGTGAGGTTTGGCTTATGGTAAGAGAAAGTAACTAAAGATTTACCACCTAAGATGTTTACATGTTTCAATCTGGTGAAAGTTAAATATTTTAAATTTTAAGGCCACTTAGAGGTTTGTTAGGCCATTACCTTCGTTGGCTCGGATACCTAGTTATCAAAAAAAAATATGTACCTATATATTATATAAGAAAAAGGAAATTTTTAGTAGAAAGAAATATGAAAATTCCAAGTGCTAAATCTAAATTTCTTAATTTTTTAATTTAAAAAAATAATTAATAAATCATACACTTTTTTTTTTTTTTTCGCATAAATCACACACTCAAACACGTACAATTTTTTATTCCTAAAATCATTCTTTCCTTACAATCAAACAAATAAAGAGTTTTTCAATTAAAATATAATAATTAATAAATCATACACTTAAGGAGTTTTTCGAGTAAAAAATAATAATTAATAAATCACATACTTAAAAAATATTTCGTTGTAAAATATTTTTTATTAAAATATTTTAAATTATTCACCATAAAGCATAAAATGATTTATATAATTAAAATTTCACAACATTTTTTTTTTCTCACCATGGCCATTACTACTTAATAGACGTATCAAAACTCATTATTTTTACACACACAAAACGTGTGTGTATGTATATATATATATATAGAGAGAGAGAGAGATTTACATATATTATGATTGAGTAATTTATATTTATATTTTTCAATTTTAAATAATTTGTATCTATATTATATATAATTACGATTTAATAAGATTTCTTTAAGGTTCAAACTCTCAACTAATTTTTTTAATTTTAATTTTTTTAATAATGAAAATACTAAAACATTAGTATATTAACAAATGTAATTTATTATTATCATATGGTAAACTAAAATTACAAAACTTATAAAATGAAATGTATTTATATTTTATCATAAATATAACTTTTGTAATTTATTATCTAATTTTTATTAATTAAATTATGGCATGTATTTAGTTGATTATAAATCATTTTTACTACATATTTTAGATAAATTTTATATTATTATTTAATTTTAAGAAATAAATTTTGATTATTTATTTATACCCGTGCATTGCATGGATAATATGTTAGTATATATTAAGAAAAACGGAGTTTCTAATAAGAAGATCTATGCTAGAATTTCAAGCTTTTTCCTATATTATTTATTTATACAATAATGTATTAAATTAGTGTAGTTGATATCCCTACACACTATGTAATATAGTTGATGAGAGGGAGATTTATAATCTGGCTCTAGGCCATGGTAGAGGCCGGACATAAGGGGGCCGAGTATGTTTTATGCCGAGCTAACCCGGCCTGTTTAGAGGCGGTCTTGCTCAGTCGAGGCCCAAGACCATGTTGGGGCCGAACTACTTGGGCTTGTCTATGTCTAGAGTCGGTCATGCTCGGCTGAGGTTCAAGCCCCGTGTTTGGGCCGAGCTCACTTTGCCGAGATGGTCTCCTGCTAACCCGGGTTTCATGGGTTGCACGTTTAGCTCGGCAAGGAGGCCTTATGTTTATCGGCTCGACCTGTCTTCACCTCAACTCTACCGGAATGCTACCGAGCTCTGTTGCTATGGAGCTTGGCGAGCGGCTTACTCGGACTTGTCACGCAGCCCGGTTGTGTGAGGCCAAGGTGATGCTGCCGGGCTGCTGAGTTCCTGCTAATGCTGTCTGGCGGTTTGGTTAGGTGGTGTTAGCTGGATTTGTGCTGATAGATGGGAGAGCAGCTCCACGTGTCAACAGACTAGTGGAAGCAGAATTGAGCGCATAAATTATATAAGCATGACTGCACCCCCCATGCTGGATGGAACATCATTTTGGTAAGAAACACTCATTGTGATTTATCTCTCTCTTCCTCTCTCTCTCCTTGATTGTGTGTGCTGACTTGATCGTCGGAGGGGTTTTCCGGCCACACACCGCCGGGTAGCTCACCGCCGTTGTGCTCGCAGGTAGATCGGATAGACAAATAGCTTGGACGAAAGGAGTATGGGTTCCGCGAATATTTGCTCCCCGTATAATTGGCGCCGTCTGTGGGAAGCTTAATAGACAAAACCTTGTCTTCCAAGCTTCTGGTCGCCTTCCATGGCGAACAACGACGAAATACCGTTGTCCGCCATTGACGATGTTACCCTGGAGTCAGCCAGACGGAGAGACGGACACCCCGCCATTCCAAACATGGCGGACCTGGAGACTTCCCCAGGTGGACATTCAAGAGACGCGCGTGATAAGAGTGCTAGAAGTTTTGGTCACTCGCAGAGCCCAGACGGACACTGGCGGCGAAGAGAATCGCACGCTAGACGTCTTCAGCACAAGTTAAGAGACCAAGACGCCGTCATCCAGAGAATGGCGGTGGAGATAAAAGCTCTCAAACAGCATGTTAAAGGAAGGGTGTTGTTGGAGTGGGAGACCACAGTGAGTGCACCCAACCACGCCGTTCAGGCAGTCAGAGCCAGCGACACACTCCCTCCCTTTCTATCACCAGAAGTTATAGGGTTGGAGATTCCGACGCGCCTATAGAGAAGTCTAGCGCGCAAGATAGTACCTATTAACCCTCACGTCCGGCGATGACATCGAGATATTCCTACTCCGCTCGCTCAGAGGACTTATGGGTAGTCTTGAAGGAGCGGGCTCGCCAGTGAGAGACTCAAAGGGTGCTGGCGCTCCAGCAGCTATCTTACGAGGGTCACGCCAGTGAAGAGGTCATAATGCCACCACTCCGCCCAGCCGTGCCTCTCCTTATAGACACAGATTTGGCAAGACTGAATGCTACCCCCTTCTCCCTTGAGATAGAAATCACACCGCTCCCCGCGGGCTTTCACCAGCCTAAGTTTACGCTCTACAACGGAAAGACCGATCCATACATGCATATAAGCCACTTCCAACAGGTCATGGCTGGACATAGGCGCAATGACGCTCTTATGTGCCTTATCTTCCCGTCGAGTTTGGGCGAGCTGAGTTTGAAGTGGTTTGAGAGGCTGCCGGAGGGAAGCATCGAAAGATGGCAGCAGTTGGCGAAAGCCTTTGTGACTCGTTTCAAGACGAACACTAAAACGCCAAAGGAGGTGGACCACCTTCTCAGTGTCAAAATGGAGTCGAGCGACACATTCAAGGCATACAACTCCAGATACTGGGAAACCTTCAATGAGATTTTAGATTGCCCGATCAACCTGGCAATCACCCAATATAAGCACGGTCTCCCGGTCGGACATAGGCTGCGGGACTCACTTACCATGAACCAGCCGGCATCCATGGGCCAACTAATGTAGCACATCAATGAGCACATCCGAGTAGAGGATGATGCGGCGGCGTCCACCGCGAAGACAACGCCGGTGGTAACAGACAA